ATAGAATTATAGCAGTTAGTTTACAAAATACTGTGTAGTGTGACATATTAGTTTTATATTACTGTAATGAAATACTGGAGGCAATTTGCTTGTAAAAGAGAAAAGGTTTTTGAGCTCCTGTCTCTGGAGGTTCCAGCCCAAGACCAGGCAGCCCACATTGCATTGGGTCTCTAGTGGTAGCACCAGATGGCATGTGGCAGAGCAGTGGCTCATACCAGGAGCCAGAAGCAGAGACAGAGGACTGGCCAGGTCCCCAAGTCCTTTTCAGGGGTATGCTCCCAATAATCTAAGGCCCTCCCATTGCGCACTACTTCTGGAAGTTTCCACCACCTTCCAGCAGCACCCACCCTTGGGACTAAGCCTTTGAGGACACATCCAAGTAACAGCAAGTGGTTAGAATCTCAGGTCTTGGAGTCAGGTGTGAGTGTGTGTGCGTGTGTGTGTGTGTGTGTGTGTGTGTGTGTGTGCGTGCGCGCACGTGTAGGTCAGAGGTCAACTTTGTAGGGTTGATTCTTTCCTCCCACCTTCATATGAGTTCCAAGGATCGAGCACAGGTTGCTAGGCTTGTGCAACAAGAGCTTTACCCACTGAGCAATCCTACCAGCCCTGTTTAATTTTTTCTTCTTGTTTTTTTTAAAACTTTATTGAGTTATTATTTTTTATGTGTATGAGTGTATTGCCTACATGAGTCTTGGAGTCAAGGAAACCTGGATTTGAACTCTTCTTTCACTAGTTCTGTGATCTGGAGGAGGATATTTACCCTCTCAAAGTGCTTATGTCCTATTCTATAAACAAAGTTAATGGTATCACCTTTCTTGTAACACTGTTGCAAGGGTGAAATGAGATACTACACATAAAGTGTGGGACACATAGACATAGCCATTAATAAGCATGGAATAAATGCAGACCGGTGGTGGTGGTGGTGGTGGTGATGATGATGATTTATATATATATGTGTATATATATATTATATATATAATTTGAGTAGCTGGTCTTTATATTCAGTCTATCGTGTATTCATGAACACTCTTGGTGTTTTACATTCTATGGGTTTTGGAAAATGATGACACATGTCCATCATCATGGTACCAAGCAGAGCAGTGAAACTGTCTTGAAAATTCCCTTTAATGCCTGACAGCTGCTGACCATTTTATTATCTCCATAGTTTGCCTTCTCTGGAACGTGGTCTGGTGGGAATGATACATTATGCAGCCTTTTCAGATTGGCTTCTTTCATTTAGCAATATGCATTGATAGTTCCTCTACAGTCTTTTTATGGCTTGGAAGTTGCTCTCTCTTTAGTACCACAACATGCTCTCTTTTTCACAACATATCCATTCACCCACTGAAGCCCATCCCAAATGCTTCCAAGTGTGGGCAGTTATAAATATAGCCAACTGTAAACACTTGTGTTCAGGCTTTTGCATAAGCATATTTTCAGCTCACTTGAATAAATACCAAGAAATATAATTGTGCCGGGTGTGGTGGTGCATGCCTTTAGTCCCAGCACCCTGGAGGCACAGGCAGGAGGATTTCTGTGAGTTTGAGGCTAGCGTGATCCAAGTAGTGAGTTCCAAGATAGCCAGTGCTACCTTGTGAGACCTTGACTCAAAAAAAAAAAAAAATACAATTGCTAGGTGATGCTGTAAGAATATGTTTGGTTTTGGTTTTCCAAGCAACTGCCTAGCTATCATCTAAAAGAGTGGAGTCTCATTCCACCAGAAAGAATCCAAGTCCTTATTTCTCCACATCTTTGCCAGCATTTGGTGGTGTTAGTGTTTTGAATTTTGAGAGTCCAGGAGGCATGTGGGTAGTTGTTTCACATTGTTGTTTTACACCCATGTGCTTGGTTTGTAATTTTGACACCAGAGAGTGTGAGGCCTCTTGCTGTGTCCTTTCTTTTCAAGATTGTTCTGGCTAATTGGAGTGCCCTATAATTCCAGACAAGTTTTAAGATGATTTTTTTTTCTATTTCTGCAACAAACAAAAACAAAAACAAGTCATAGCTATTTTGATAGAGAATGCATTGAGTCTATAGATCACTGTGGATAGTATTGACATATTAACTAATACTGCATTTTTCAATTTATGAACTGGGATTTCTTTCCTTTTATCTGAACCATCTTTAATATTTATTATGTATTTATTTATTTGTTTGTTTATTTATTATGTGTATGAGTGCTTTGCCTGCATGTATTTAAGTGCACCATGTGCATGCAATGCCTGAAGAAGCCAGAAGAGGGCATCAATTCGCTGGAGCTGGAGTTATGGATAGCTGTCAGCTGCTGTATAGGTGCTGGAAACTGAACCTGGGTCCTCTGAATCTTCTTCAGTTTCTTTCAGGAACGTTTTGTAGTCTTCACTGTTCAAGGCTTTGACCCCCTTCCTAAGTTAATTCTTAAGTATTATTGTATTCTGTGGCATGTCATTTTCTCTTAATTTGTTTTTTAAGTCTTTTAATACAATTTTTAGGGTTTCCTACATACGGAATCATTTCATCTACAGACAGGTTGTTTTTCTTCTGTTTCTAATATAGATGTCCCTAAATCTGATCCACCTATTGCTCTGGTGCTGTTAATTCTATGTTGAACAGACGTGAAAGTAGACATCTTTGTCTTGTTCTCAATCATAGAGGCAAAGTCTTCAGTATTTAGCTGTTGAGTGTTTAGCTGTGTATGCAAATAGCTTGGAGGGGCTTTATGATTGTGCTCGTCTGCATTTGTGGCACTTGGCAGAGAGTCTAGAACATAATAACCATTGAAAAATGTAGTTTCTTAAAATAGAACAAGCTAAAGGCATTTATTTTATATATTACTTATTTTTATTTTATGTGTATGAGAATTTGCATACATGTATCTAAGTGCACCATGTGTGTGCAGTGACCTTAGAGGCCAGAAGAGGGTATCAGAGTCCCTGGAACTGGAGTTATAGACGTTTGTTAGCTACCATGTGGGTACTAGGAACTGAACGCTAGTCTTCTGCAAGAGCAACAGGTGCTCTTAACCACTGAGCTATCTCTGCAGCCCTGAAAGGTGCTTGTTTTTATTATTTTATTTTATCTTATTTTATTTTATTTTGTCTTTTTGAAGCAGGGTCTCCCTGTAGCCCCAGCTGTCCTGGAACTCACTATGTAGACCAGGCTGGCCTTGAATTCACAGAGATCTATCTGCTTCTGCCTTCCAAGTGCTGGGACTACAGGCATGTGCCACCATGCCCGGCTTATTCTTTTATTTTCTTTTATTTTATTTATTTTAAGACAGGGTCTCACTTTGTAGCCAAGGCTGGCCTCAGACTCTTGACAATCCTTCTGACTCAGTGCCGGGTCACTTGTATGAGCCACCACACCTGGTTTTAAGTTGTAAGGTGTCATCAGGTGGCATGCTCGCAAGGAGTACATTTTGGCCTTTATAATTGGCAACAGCCACTCTGATCATGGCCCACTTGCTTGGACAGCCTGCATTTATAGCAGCCCCCTCACCACCGGTTATCTTTTCCTTTTCTATATTAACACTTAATAAGTTGAAGAAAATAATATATGTTATAACTCACGACTACTGAATAAATAACTTGCAGCCCATTGGATGCAAAGGAGGAATGAAAGCTATAAATTATGGATGGAGTTGTTCATGTCCACAGCATATCCCTTGCTCTGACACAGCTTTGAAATTGAGTAGCTAATTTAAAGGGCTTGAGTCTGCTGGCCTTGGTTTTCATTCAGGTTGGTTGGAAAGCGCCAGTCACTGCCACTTCATTAGTCATGACTCTTCCACTGGAATGTGTCCCTGGAGCTCACAGTAGATAAAATTCTGATTAAGTGCAGTCTGAGAATGGGAAGATCAAATGTTTTTTTTAATGTGTGCACATTTCTCTTCATTTGGAGTTTTAACAAGCAAGTCCTAAATATGAAATAGCATGTCCTCACTTTTCCCCTTGAACAAGGTCGTTTGAGTTACAGATTAAAAAAGCCCGTTCTATACATGAAGAACTTGTTAATAACCTTAAGGGGTGGCAGGATATAGACACTGAGAAAACAGGCCTTTTCAACTCAATGAGGGGTTTTCTGGCTAAAAAATAATTGAAACCCTAGAGCTTGTGCCAAAGAGGATTTTAGAGCACCAAAAAGATGTTCTCAGAACATAAGACTATCTTACAGGCTCAAAGGGCAGGAGAGGCAGCTGGGCTCAGGAGAACAGTAGGCCAAGTGGCAGGAGAGGCCCTGGCTCAGGAGACCAGCAGGCCCAAGGTCACTCCATCCATCTCCAGGCGAAGTGGCCTCATCTCTCCTTTTCTCTGCACGCCTGCTCCTTTCTTCCCTCTCACCAGGCTGGCTGTCCCTTCTTTTAAGCCCAGCCATCCACAGCTGTCCAGTTCTGCCTTTTCATTGCTCCCAGTTCAAGGGCCAGCACAGGCTGCCTGGCATCTCTGATTTCCAAATTCCTGGAAGGCAGAATCTGGTGAGCTCATTTTAAGTCAGCTGGCCGTGCATGACTTGTTCGTTTATGAATTCAAAACATCTACACTAAGATCCAGGAACTGTTTTAGCAAGTGAAGATATATCCTGCCTTGGGGGATATAGTCTTTGGTGATAGGCTGAGGGTTGCAATTTTTAAAGGAAAGGAAGTATAGGCTTAGAATTTGGGTTGACGTACATTCAAATCCTGATTCCTCCCATTACCTAGGGCATATTAAATGACTGACCCCTCTCAGTTCCAGGTTTTTGACCAGTAAAATGGGAATGATCCTTAGTAGAATAGTCGTGAGGTTTATTAAAGTGAAATGGTGCTTGTAAAACCAGTAGTAGACCCAGTATGTGCCACGTGCTTTTGGAATGCTGCTGCTCTGAACAGGCTGCTAACCTCGTGTGAATGATTTCACTTCACATTGCTTATTTTGAGGGTGAACTCATGGGCGGTATGCCATTTGTGTGTCAGACATTATGAATACCCAGGGTGTCTGCTGCTCCTTTTCTTCCAATAACTTTTTTTTCTTCTCTTTTTCTAGTTCCCATTTGGCCGACGCTTGCCTTGTGACATCTACTGGCACGGAGTTTCATTTCACGACAACGACATACTCTCTGGTCAAGTGAACAAGTTTCCAGGTATCTGCTGTTATTGCTGGTCATTAGAGGTATTTCTAGGACTGAGTCTTAGGGTACACTCTCCTGCAAAAACAGGATGGTGTTTTAAGACCAAACTTGAGGACTCTTAATTGGGAACCTCTGTTCCTGACCTGCTGGGTTGCTGTCCCTGTGGGGAGGAAGTTAAGTGGGAATCATCAGAGCTTACACTACTGAGGGTCTGAAGATGTAGTGCAGGTATAAAGACATGCTTTCTTGGTGTAATTTCACTGTTGAAAGAACATGATTTGGGTCCTGGAGAGATGGCTCAGCGGTTAAGAGCACTGACTGCTCTTGCAGAGGACCTGGGTTCGATTCCCAGCACCCACATAGTGGCTGCGAACTGTCCTTAACTCCAGTTCCAGGGGAATCTGAAGCCCTCTTCTGACCTCCGCGGCATTGCACGACATGAGTGCACTCACATACATGCAGGCAGTATACTCATACACATAAAAAAAGAATTAAACTCACTCTTCTCCTCCATCAGAAGGTTGAGTCCTTTGCCTTCAGTCATTCCATCCATCTACCACCAGACCTGAGTTTCTACAAAGATAAAAATAATAAATAAAAATATTTTTTTAAAAAGAGTTTTTAAAAAAGAACATGATTTGGAGGCTGAGGAGATGCTCAGTGGGCGAAGTACTTGCTGCTCAAGCATGAGGACCAGTGTTTGAATCCCCAGGCCCCATGTGAAAACAAGTGTGGGTGGGTATGGTGGTCCCCCATGATCCTGGCTCCCTAGAGGCAGAGACAGAGGATCTCTTGGGCAAGCTTGCTAGCAAAACTAGGGGAAATCTGTGAGCTCTGGGTTCAGTGAGAGACCCTGCATTAGTAAATAGAGAATAATGAGACTTGATATCAGCCTCTGACCTGCACACATATGTGCACATACACGCACATTCACCCACACATGTGCATTCACACACATACACAAAGTGTAAACATAATTTGTACTTTTTGAGTTATAGACATGATCTGGGAGTCTAGTAATGGGACTATGTTGTCAAAAGGAAGAAATACAACTTTTCTCTTGTAGAAAACCAAAGTGCTAAAATTCTAGGAATCTATCACAGAAATGAAAAATCAATTTGCTTTTTCTTTAAGTATCGGGTTTGGAGGTATCATAAAGTGAAGTCCCCCCATCTCCATTATGAGCACTATGGGCTGTGGGCAGCCTGTTTTTACCTAATGGCCTGGTCTCATTATGAAACGTACTCTACAGGAGCTCCTCGGTTCCAGAAATCATGTTGGAGCCAACACACTTAGATGGCCTGCTTGCTTCATTCTCCATCTCCGTGGATGCTTCATTTTGTCTTTTAACTGCTATCATCTTCTCTGCCACGATCACTGTTTTTTATGGTTTCTGGTGGTTGTGTGAAGACAGAGGACTGATGGTAGTAGGGCTGATTAGGGAAAAGGGAACATTGTAAGACACAGGTCTTAACATTCACCTTGTTGCTACATGGTATTGTAACACAATCATAAATTTAAAGAGAAAGTTGCCTTGAATCCCATCCCTCATTTAAGAAAATAACATTGTGAATACTGCAAATATTTTACTTCATTTTATTTTATATGAGTGCATGTATGTAAGTGCACCCATAAATGCCTGCAGAAGTCAGAAGGCATCGGATCCCCTGGAACTGGAGTTATGGATGGTTGTTAGCTGCCATGTGGGTGCTGGGAACCAAACCCAGGCCCTCTGCAAGAGCAGCAAGTGCTCTTAACTGCTGAGCCATCTCTCCAGCCCCCCCCATGTGAATATTTTTATATTTTCTCCCAAACTTTTATTTATTTATGTGCATGAATGTATTGCCTGCACATATGTAACTGTACCCATGTCATGCAATGCCTGCAGAGGTCCAAGGGTGTCAGATCTGCTGGAACTGGAGTTACGGACAGTTGCTAGCTACATTGTGGGTGCTGGGATTCAAACCTGGATCCTCTGCAAGAACATCCAGTTCTCTTAACTGCCAAGTCATCTTTCCAGCCCTGCTTTTCTTCCACGGCTATTTATACTGCAACATCAAAGGTGTTAAGGTGTTATATCATTTGCACTTACACTGAAGGGAGAATCAATTTGCCTCTTTTCTTTAATATCCTGTCCTATCCCATGCCTTGAAGAAAATGCCTCTTATTCCCAGCCCTTGGGAGGCTGAGGCAGGAGGATTGCCCTGAGTTTGAGGCTAGCTTGGGCAACATAATGAGTTGCAGGTTATCCTAGGCTATGAAGTGAGTCTTTGTCTCAAAACCCAAACAAGCAAAAACAAAAAGCAAAAACACACCATCTCTCAGGAAACCCCAAATACATATATTATACACTAGCTGGTTTGTCACTTCCACTAGGGGATTTTTGACATAATCACTTACATGTATAAGGTCACTTGCATAGGCCGTACTAGGTTCAGATTTGCTTAGAAGAAGGCAGGGCAGAAAGCACAGCTTGCTTGCTGGTCAGTACTTAGCTTTTCTCCTTAGTGGAATATCTGTAAGAATTCCAGACACTATTCTCTGGCCCCCAGTGAAAGATGACACCCAAGGAGACAAGATCAACGTCTGTCTTGGCTTAGATGCCGTGTAGGCACCAGAATCTCTCATAGCTGCTCCAGGCATAGCATCCAAGGACCCCTGAAAAGCTTACGTTAAGTCACAAGAATCACCACACTCAGGAAAGCCTAGAGCTACATACTTCTTCCTACCAGGCATTTATAGTTTGCCAGTGTGAAATCATGTTAACTGTGGCTGTTGTATACGAACACAGCTTGTGTCTCACCGTTATTGGCTTCAAGGGGAACAAAGCTGGAAAGCGACCACAAGGTCAAATTTATCCTTAGAGATGGAGAAAGGGTTTTTTGTTAGAGAGCAGGTGTGACCCTTGCAGCCAGGGTCTTTGCACCACTTTAATGGGATAGCTACTATCTTTTCTGCCTTGTTGCTCAGAAAAAGGCCCCTTTTTTGTTTTCAAGGGGTTCTTGGGGTAGTGGGAGAGCACAGTTTGGAATGAGAGCAGTGCTGTGCCTGGGAGCAGAGTTCCTGAGACAAGAGTCATGATTCGTCTGATGAGGCTCCATCTACATTTTCTTTCTGCTCCCTCCTGTCTCCCCTGATGGCTGAGAGTGGGAAAGAAGTTGCTGAGGGTCCCCATTAGGAAAACAAACAAGAAGCAGAAAAGAAAGTACTCCCGAAGGACCAGTTTTATGCAAGAACATTCATTCCAAAGAAGCAAGTTTCCCCATCCCGTAGTCTACATGCCAGTGACTGGAACACATAATTTTCCACTTTGCGAACAGCAGTTAATTAGCTGTAATGACACAGCAGCCTCTGGAACCTCTAGGCAGAGAACAGCACTGCCAGGCTTTCACCTTTGACAGACAGTAACCCTCAGCAGCAGGGCGATTCCAGAACAATCTGTCCCCCCTCTCCTGTTGAGTCTGAGTTTATCCTCTGCCTCTCCTATATCCTGTTATTCTAAATATGCATTTCAAATCATGGCCTATGACCTAGTGGAAGCTCTAGTGGCTGAACCAGGAGAGTAGAGAGACTGCAAGTGCATCCTAGACTGAGACCTTTTGGATGTGCACATGGAATTTACTGTTTGTGTCAGCGTATTGGATGCCATTTACTTTTCTAGAGGCAGTTTTCTTTGTTCAAAATCCATTTTATATCTTAAATGGTATATTAAGACTTCTTATTAAAATAATCTGATTTAGATGGGTATTTGCTTTAAAGCGGTTTGATGTGTTTTGTTAAGTTTTTCTTTTTTGAGACAAGGTTTCACCATGTAGCCCTGGCTAGCCTGGAGCTCACTGTGTAGACAACGCTGGACTCACACTTGCTGTGAGCCTCCTACCTTTGCATCCTGAGTTCCACCATTCCACTCTGGCTTTTCTATAAGCTAGTCCAAAATGGCCATTTCTTTGCTTTGAAGCAGCAGTTCTTTACTGAGATGTGAGGCAGCACCGGGCAGGCGAAGCGGCTTTCTATAGGCTGGGGAGAGTGCTTTAATGATAATTCTGTGCAGTGGATATCTCTAAAGCACTGGTTCAGGCTCTGAAATAAAGATGAGGAGAAAGGGAGGCAAAAGAGTGAATCACAGTGCAAATTCTATGCAAGAGGAGTGTGGAGTGCTGGTGCTGGGGAACCCATGCTGGCTTTGAATTTGCGATCCTCCTGCTCATCCTCCCCAGTACTGGGATTATAGGCATAAGCCATCATACCTGGTGGAAAGTTTTTAAATTTAATACTGCAACCAAAATGCTAGTCAAATACAAGCAAAAAGGGTTTTCTTAAAAATATTATTATGTTTATTTTATGTGTATGAGTGTATTGCCTGGATGTGTGTGAGTGCACCTGTGTTGTGCAAATACAAGCAAAAGGGTTTTCAAATACAAGCAAAAAGGGTTTTCTTAAAAATATTATTAGTCAAATACAAGCTAGTCAAATACAAGCAAAAAGGGTTTTCTTAAAAATATTATTATTTTTATTTTATGTGTATGAGTGTATTGCCTGGATGTGTGTGAGTGCACCTGTGTTGTGCAATGCCGTGGAGGTCAGAAGAGGGCTTCGGATTCCCCTGGATCTGGAGTTAAGGACGGTTCGTAGCCACTTTGTGGGTGCTGGGAATCGAACCCGGGTCCTCTGCAAGAGCAGTCGGTGCTCTTAACCACTGAGCCATCTCTCCAGTGCCACCAAAAGGTTTTTTAAATGTTCAAGTTTTGTTTTGTTAGCTTTGTGTCCGTGCTTACCACTCAAAATTTTGTGCAAGAATAAAAAGACAACAGTCATGATTTTCCAGGTTCCTCTGTGCCTGCTCAGCACATCCTCTGTGAGTTTTCTTTAATCTTGAGTTGTCTGTGCCAAAGCACAGTTTATTGGTCCTTTAAGGCCTGGTATTTCTCACTCAGTCCTGATTTATGTCCTTCAGACAGGGGCTGGAACCTGGGCACTGACACTCTGAAGCTGTGGTTGTCACCTCTTAGCTCTTTTTCATATGCGTGGGCAGAAGGGCAGTGCAGAAGGAGAAGCAGTTGGTTAATTGAGCCTTCCTTCTCAGTTACCCACGGGCTGTGAGAAAAGTCCTCCATTCTGTTTGGACCCATTCGGAATGTGTGATAACCTGGGCACACCAAGCTGACATGGAATTCTGCACTTTCTGTTAAAAATAAGTCTGCTAAGCAAATTTCGAGTGTCAGTCTTGGAGCTGTTTAGTCCCTTTCAGGGGTGAAGGCTATTTTTTAGTCTCCATTTTTAGCAGTGAGATTTGCCTTAAGAAACAAGCAGGCTTTGATTTAGGGTAATTTACCTACTTGCTTAAAATTTACTGAGACATATGTTCAGTAATTTTTATCAGAATTGCAAATGATCTTATAAGAACAAAATATTAGAGCTGCAGAAATGACTTAGTCAGTAAAGTGCTTGCCACACAAGTCTGAGGACCTGAGTTTGATCCCCAGAATCCATGGAAAAAAGCCAAGCATGGTGGTATGCACTTGTAATCTGAGGCAGAGACAGGCAGATCCGCAGGATTCACTCGCCAGCCTGCCTAGCCCAAACAGCAAGCTCCAGGTCCACGAGAGACCCTATTTCTAGAAACAAGGTCGGGCTATGGAGATGACTTAACAAGTGAGGTGTTTGCTGTGCTGTGCTTAGGTCCCCAGAACCCGCATACATGCCAGGTGGGCATGGTGGCCTGCCTCCAATTCCAGCTCTTAGAAGGCAGAGATGGGATCCTTAGAGCAAACTGACAGGCTAGATTAGTTATCACCGAGCTATGGGTTCGAGAGACCCTGCCTCAATGAATGAGGTGGAGTGTGATTGATGAAGACTCGATGTCAGCCTCAGGCGTTGGCACACAGGCACATATATCTGAAACCACACACATGCAGAAGTGCACATACACACACATGCACATGCACACACACGCACATTAAAAAAAAGTGAACAGGGCTGGAGAGATGGCTCAGCAGTTAAGAACACTGGTTATTCTTGCAGAAGACCCAGGTTTGACTCCCAGCACCCACATAGCAGCTAACAACTGTCTGTAACCCCAGTGCCAGGGGATCTGACAGGCCTCTTCTGTTCTCCACAGGCATTGCACAACATGGTGCAATACACACACACACATATAAAATAAAAATAACAAATAAAATATTTTTTAAAAAAGTGAACAGTTCCTGGGGGAGGACACCCCAGGTTGTCCTCTGGACTCTATGTGCACACATGTGCATGCACAGACATGCACACACACATACACACTTAGGAACAAAATATCCACCATTCTTTTAAATTTTATTTATTTTTATTTTATGTGTATGTGTGCATTGCCCGCATGTAGGTAAGTGCACCCATGTCGTGCAATGCCCGCGGTGGTCAGAAGAGGCGGCTGTCAGATCCCCTGGGACTGGAGTTACAGACAGTTGTTAGCTGCCATGTGGGTGCTGGGATTCGAACCCGGGTCTTCTGCAAGAACAACCAGTATTCTTAACTGCTAAGCCATCTCTCCAGCCCCTCCACCATTCTTTTAAAGAAAGTATTTCAGGGATACTGTAGAGCTGGCAATAGCTGGTGACTGCTGCGATTGGCTGTTGAGCCTCACAGCTTCTTTCCTCCCTAGGCATGACGGAGATGGTGCGGAAAATCACGCTGAGCAGGGCGGTGAGAACCATGCAAAACCTCTTTCCTGAGGAGTACAGCTTCTACCCTCGCTCCTGGATTCTGCCCGAGGAGCTCCAGCTCTTTGTTGCTCAGGTAGCCAGCACTGGGCCAGTGACCCTTGAATGGTATTGTACTTGTGATGGTGACTGTGACCCTGGCCTGTGTGCTGGGAGCTGGGCCAAGGGAGCCTTTGGAAGCTGAGCCTGGCTAACAGAGCAACTTGCCCTTACACGGTGGGTGTGAGCAGCCATCAAGGCAGTTTACAGAGTTGAACAGGCAGGGTGACAGGTAGATAAACTGAAGTGGGTCTTGAGGAGACTGGCCAAAAAAAGATGCTAGAGCTAGATTATGGACGGGGCACCTGCTAGCCAGAAACATGGAGCAGGTAGGGAGCCCCAAGCCAATGGGCTGACTCGGGGAGCCCTGGGTGTGGGCTCCCCAGCTTCCAGTGAGTGGGGCTCTGCCGGGGGTTCATACCAGTGACCCCTGGTGCAGTGATGATTGGGGATGAGTAAGCACGCCGTTTGCCAGTCCATGCCGCCCCCAATACCGGGAACACTCAGGCGCAACGGGGAGCCTAGTCAAGCAGGGACTCCTTTATTGCAGGTGTTACAGAGCTTATAAAGGCACCTGGAGATCCCCCCTCCCCCCAGAGGGTGTATCTTAAGGATGGTCACGCATTGATCATGCACTCCTCAGCAGTGCGGAAGTATTCTTCAGACTTTCAAAGCAAGCCAGGCCGCGCCCCCAGTAACTTCCTTTCAGACCTATGCAAGGTGGGGCCTTTAGGTCCCCACATATCCCCCTTTTTAATTTTTATTTTAAGGCTGGACTGACTTTATTTCACGGGTTACCGACCTCATAGGCAGCTCCCTTTGGAGTGATGGCTATC